ACACATTATACAAGTTGATAGAATAACTAGAGATCACATTACAAACGATCCCCCGAACACCTAGTGCACCGTAATCTAGCCCTAAACATCGTCTTCGAGGGTTTTCCTCACACAATCGAAGAAGACGATCCCAAAATGGTTATGGTTTTTTTTTGGGGGCGCTGAATCCGAATTTCACGACGAAAATTACCCTTCCAACAGCTGGTGCACCGGAACCTTGGGCTGAACGTCGTCTCCGACGGTTTTCCAGACACGATCGCAAAAGACTAACCGAATCTCGTCTATAATTTCACACATTCATTGATGTGTAACTCTCGCCTGGGTCCCTCGAAGAAGTTGATTCAGTTCTGTAAAATTCTAAATTCCGGGTTTGAATAGAGAATTACGAGAATAATCTCTGGCTAGATCTCCGAACTTTTCCGAGCGGCCTTTCACTTTTCTCCCAACGCCCGAAACGCTTTTGTGTAAGAATACACAGAAACTTTCTCCTAAGTCCAGGCCCCGCCCACCAACGTCCAGGTTCGGGTGCACCAGGTATCCGGAAGGTGTTCGACGATGCCACATTTGAATTCAGCAAACCAAAAAACTCCCGGGCGTAGAGTTTCTCTCCTTCTTCGCTTGAATTTTAGGATAGTCCCACGGATATGACGTTCAGGACCAGATTCCGGTGTACCAGGTGTTGGAGGGATCGTTTTCGACGGGAAATTCAGATTCAGCGCCCCAAAAAACCTAATAACGATTTTTGGTTCTTTTTCGATTGTGTAAAGAAAACCCACGGAGATGAGGTCCACGTCCAGGTTTTGGTGCATCAGATGTTCAGGGGATCGTTTTAGACGTGAAATATGGATTAAGCACCCAAAAAATGCCCCTACAATAATTTTCGGGTTGTTTTTGGCGATCTTATCGGGAAAATTCTCGGGGATGACGTTCACGTCCAGGTTCGGGCACACCAGGTGTCAGCGGGTGTTTTCCGAAGCCATATTTGTATTCAGCACTATAAAAAACCCCCATAATGATTTTCGGTTCGTCTTTTTTGATTGTGTGAGGTAAACTCACGGAGATGAGGTCCGCGTCCAGGTTTCGGTTTCGGTTCAGGGAGTCGTTCTCGACGTTAAATTTGGATTCAGCACCCCAAAAACCAAAATTCTAAAAGTGGCGAATAAAGCTTTTGCCTTCCATGCAAAAATCCCGAGTTTGAATCTAGCCCAGCCCGGGACTAATTAAATTAATTCTTCTTTTTTCATGTTTATTTTATTTTATAAATTAATAAAAGTTATAAATTATTTTTAAATTAGTTATTTTAATATTATAACCTAAAATAGTTTTTATTTGTAGATTTCCATTAGTGGGTCGTAGAAAAATATACTGTACAACTCGAGTAGATTGTCCATGTCCACTCTTGTTGCACAAACTATTATTAAAAACGCTTTTATTCAGGAATCAATATTTTATCCAGCTATGTAAATTTTCAATAAAAATAAAAAAATTACGGTTTGCATTTGATAATTATGTCAGAATTATTATATTTTACAAATTTGACATGAATTTGATGTTTAGAAAAATCTGACATGTGTCAATTTTGTCACGGCGGATAACAAATCTGACGTTATACTCGTATGTCAATATTGCCATGGTAACAAATAATAAATATGACATTTAATGAAAGATTGTCATATTAAATGACAGCGCTCCTTTATAAAAATGCTCTGCCTGATATAATAAAATTTTCAGGTAACGCCTACCTACTTAAAAGCACGTGAACTAAAAATTACAGGAATTACAGCTGTTTGATGTGTTATTGTTGGTTGCGTTATTAGGGTCAAAATTAAAAAAGTTGGTTCATACAATACTTGTAAATGAAAGCAAGAACATGAAATATTTTATACAGGGATTTCATTTCAAAACTAGCCACCCAAAATAACTTTTAAAATATCATAAAACAAAAAACACATTAATTTATATTTACGAATGGAAAACATTTTACAAGTATCTGTAACCGTGCAGTTTCATCCCCTAAGCGGTGGTGAATATCACTTCTAAAATTTTAAATAGAAAGGGGTATCATGTGATAGCTCTTCTTAAAGGTCTCTTTTTTTCCAATCTTTTGACACATTATTTTTTTAAATCGGATTAATTTTTCACCAAGTTATAACCTAAAAACCGGAAAAAATATTGAATTAAAATGCATGAGTATAAATACCGAGATAAACAAGTTAGCAAAAAGCCTTAAATGTTTTTTGCGTAAGATATTTTTGACCGTAAATTAAAACAATTTATTATTAGTAGATTATTGGTTTCGTTGTGTACTGACAATTTAATTTTGACAATGGTTTATTCTTTACAAGAAAGAATTGAAATAATCTTTATTTATGGTGAAGAACAACGCTGTGCACGCAGAACTGCTCGTGTTTTTAATCAGAGACATCCCGATAAAAATGTTGGGCATCAGTATGTGTTGGATTTAGTTCATAAATTTCAAGAAACTGGAAGTGTGTGCAATAAAACTGTAAGGAATCGTAGAGTTTTAACTGAAGCTGCACAAGTTGAGATTTTAGGTCATTTTGCCATGGAACCTCAAACATCAATATCAAAAGTCTCCAGATTAACAAATATTTCCGTTGGCTCTGTGCATAAAACGTTACGGCTAAATGAATGATTTCCTTACAAAATACAGCTTTTACAACAGCTTGCTAAGGATGATTATGACAGAAGATTAGAATTTTGCGAATTAATGACTCAAAGGGCAAATGAAGACCATAATTTTATTAAAAATATTTGTTTTACTGACGAGGCAGGTTTCTTTTTAAATGGATTTGTCAATAAACATAATTGTAGGTACTGGGACAATACAAATCCACATGTTTTTCAGGAAGAGCACAGCCAATATCCTCAGAAAATCAACGTATGGGCCGAAATTCTTGGTAATAAAATTATTGGTCCTATTTTCATGGAGGAAAATTTAACTGGGGAATTGTATTTGAACTTATTAGAAAATCTGATAAATCCTCTTATAACCGAATCCTTAGAAAACCAAATAGATCAAGATGGAAATTTGTTACTAGACGAAGAAAACCTATTTTTTCAACAGGATGGAGCACCTCCACATTATGCCTTGCCTGTACGAAATTGGCTTAATGAGACATTTCCAGATGAATGGATCGGAAGAAGGGGCGCTACAGAATGGCCAGCGAGATCACCAAACCTAACGCCCCTTGACTTTTTTTATGGGGACATCTAAAAACTGTGGTGTATAAAACTTAACCTCGCGATATTCCTGAACTTAGACGTAGAATAATGGAGGAGTGTGAGCGGATTACACCAGGGACGCTTCAAAAAGTGCGGGATGAATTCGAGCTGCGACTTTACCATTGCCTTGCCAACAATGGCGGACATTTTGAACATCTTATGTAAGTACAATGTAATTCTTACCGCAAATAAAATATTAATAATGTAAATACAATGTAAATAATAATTATTTTAATTTAAAAGGTTAAAATGGCATAACTTGGTGAAAAATTAATCCGATTTAAAAGAATAATGTGTCAAAAGATTGGAAAAAAAAGACCTTTAAGAAGAGCTATCACATGATACCCCTTTCTATTTAAAATTTTAGAAGTGATATTCACAACCGCTTAGGGGATAAAACTGCACGGTTACAGATACTTGTAAAATGTGTCCCCCCGTAAATATAAATTAACGTGTTTTTTGTTTTTTTGTTTTAAAGATATTTTAAAAGTTATTTTTGGTGGCTAGTTTTGAAATGAAATCCCTGTATGTAGAGCCTCTAATGTAAAATAATCTAGTTTCTGAAATAGTTCATTGTATTCAGGAATTAGTGTAATATAATTATAAAAGCAAATCAGCATAGATTTATTGCCTATAAAGCCCATCTTATAATTTCTCCTATGCTAATACATTTGCAAATGCCGCATTAATTTACATTTGAGATATTTTAATTTATAATTTGAATTCAAACTAGACTAATAATACAAAAGTGAAAAAGTCAAAAATATTGAATTTGAAAAAGTGATCTTAAAATCGAAATACAAAAAAATGTATGTAAAAAATGAAAATAATTATAAAATTTCCGACAGAAATCGCAGATGTAAATAAAAAATAGTGGTCCACGTTGAAGGGAAAATAACATTTTTTTGAAATTTCTACGTCCTACAAATGATATTAAAAAAAAATAATTTAAAAGCCAAAGCAAATGGTTACTATACGTACAGTACGAGAAATTAGAGATGGCAAGTGAAATGCGTAGAACCTAGAAAATAGAGAAGGATAGGCGCAGCTTGCAGTGAGTGAAGTAGCCACACTTCCTAACGTGTGATGTTGCCGTTATATATATTTAGTATTTAAACATGACAATAAATGTAACTAAGGCCCGTATTTATAAACGGATATCAGCCAAGTCCGATTCCTTGAACGAAAATCGAAGTTCTGTTATATCGCGTGAATTTGGAGATAGGTAGTAACAAATTCGTAAATGTACTTAACAGTTACAGATTTGCTGCTATCCATCTCTAAATGCCAGTGTAACACCGGAGCCACGTGTAACTTTAGAGAAGTTGTAACCGAACTTCGATTTTCGTTCAAAGGCGACTTACCCAAGTCCGACTCAGCTAATATCTGTTTAAATTTATAAATATGAACCTAAAGGGACATTCCGATCCGATTAGCCAATGCGCATCTAATTCTGACTTGCCATCTCAATCTTGTAGTACTATATAAATCTAATAATTGGTAATGTCTTCTAACATATACTTACCCTAAAAACCCAAAAAAAAACAACATTTACAAATAAATACAAAACATTTTACTCGATAACTGACTAATGGTAAATCTTTTTAACCGATCCACATTCTTTTGGAGATGTGTATGTATCTCTCACAGACTAACTTACTTATTTTACTTAAATTATTTAACTTAATTGTTTTTATAAATAGGAATTAAAACTATAAAACATCATTATATCGCATTTCGAAAAATATACTTACTGTTACATCAGGGTATACAAAATACGAATTTTCGCCTACTCTAATTCTGTGGGACCGAAGTTGTGGGACTACAAAAATACAAGATGTATGGTATTTTCAAACATCAGTTATTTAGTTAACTTACCATTTTCCACAAAGGCAATGGTTGTTGTAAAGCAAATAAAAACGCCAAAGATTGCTACGAACGAATGCATTTTGATTAATAAAATTTTAGTATATACTTCGATTTATATATCTTACATATCTAATTATTTTTTTCATTATCAAACGAAAAATCTAATATAAGTTGTTGAGATATCGATAATTATATATTTATGTATGATGTAGGTTGAAATGAAGATGAATTTATTAATAATTCGATAAATAATAACCACTCCATTGATATAACTATAACTCTAAGATCAGAGATAAGAATACAATGTACGAACATTTTGTAAATTTGAATGATATCTTAGATCAGTTTGAAAAAAAAAAAAGAAAAATTTTATATCTTACATATGAGGTTGCAAGGCAAAAAACTGACGCCATTGTGTTACGCACAACCTAAATTGTGTTACGTAAAACCAGATTGGTGACAATTTGCTTCGTGGTAATTAAATTGAGTGCCAAATCTGTTACATGACAAGTTGGGTGCAAGAAATGTTACCCTAGTTACCCTCGGCCAAGCTCAACAGGGTCGGTGAAATTCGGCGTGGAATTTAACTAGCAATCAATGTTCTATTAATGGTTAAGAATGCCATCTAGTTAGATGGATAATAAATACAAATTATGCTATTAATTTGCTAGGTGAAAGTAAGGAAGGAATTTAAAGAATTAAATGAAATTATAGTTACTTTAAAGTACTGAACTTTTGAATTAATCTAACAGTTTGAAAGGTTTTTACAACAAACAATTAATGTAAATTGAATTAAATTGGAAAAATTGAATTAAATTGAAAGGACTACTAAGTGATTTTGTGACATTAAATAATGAACACAAACAAACGAGGCTCTATATATATATATATATATATATATATATATATATATATATATATATATATATATATATATATATATATATATATTGTTATGGGGATGTTTTTGTGTGAAATATATAGCACTACGTTGTGACGTTATGTAATTGTAATGAGCTTTAAATAATTTATATCACAAATCATCCTCCATACAAATACTTAATGCTCCGGCTAAAATGTTATCTAATGCAATTAATGAAACGATATGACTCAATTCTTTTAACTAATGGGTTTAAAAATTTTCATCCATGTATTTAAGACACTTACCTCTGAACCTCGTATATTGTCAGCTCTTGTATAGAAATAAAAATAAGTAAAAGTTTGAGACTCTGTGTATAACTTGTAGTTTTATTTAAAATAATTGATATCAGGGTTTAGTGCGAGTTCAAAAATTCTTTGTAACTAATGTGGGAAAAAGAAACAGAATATTGTTACATAAATGTAAAAATTAACATAGAAACAAAAATAATAAAATAATTCGTCATTTAACGATCGATTCTTGGATCGAAAATGGCGCATTATACTATAAAAATACAGTTACCTATCGAACTTAATATTCTACCCACCGTACGGCGCTTTTAAATACGTAAGTAGATCTCTTTTGGCCGGCTATATGGTAATTTCTCTAGTCGGACAAAAGATGGCTTATTATAGAATTCTAACCTAATCAAATCAGATGGTCCAAAAAAACATTCTGATGTTATTTTATACTAAAATAGAAAGATTCATCGTCTTTACGATTACTCAAGTACTCAATTTGGTAAGTACTTTCTTTTAATTGTTCACTAATGATAGTTTTTAATTGAAATACCTGTATAGCACTGTGAAATATAAGATGTCCTAGTGTTAAACTTATTTCTTTTCAGCGTCCATAACAGAAGGATGTTACAAGTACCTGGGGGAAATGGAGGCCTTGCGTCTTGTATGCCAATGCATACTTCCTGGAACTCTTCTTCGGGCAGTTTTACATAATATTGCGTGGGTAAGTTAAATTTAATATTACCTTTGACATTTATACACTAGTTAATCGTTTATACATAAACATTGAAGATTTAATATTTCTGTCTCTTTATTTTTAGGAAAAAGGAGTTTGGAGAGGAAATTCGAAGGAAAAAATTTTTGTGTCCTTCCTTTTTCGTTACTTTTCTAGCACTCTTCTTTTGTTTTTTCAACAAAATTCTGATTTGGATTTTTGAATCAAGTTGGATGAAAAAGTAATTAGCCAATCAAAATTCTGACAGTTTAGTTACATCTTTAAAATTAGATTATTGGATTATTAAAGGTGAGTTTATTTAAACGGCTTATTTCATAATTTCGATGATAATTTATCGTTCATTAATTAATAGGTTATTTTGAAATCCGTGTTGTAATTTTTTTACAATTTTACATTTTAAAAATTATAATTTTCGTGTGGTAACATTGTCTCACTACATTTAGTTACTTTTGATCTTGTCAAATTTATCACTATACAGGGTGTAGTCTAAATACTTAGATGAAACTTTTTTAAATTTATTTCTTTGAAGACTTTTTATCATTAACTTGATATTCTTGGGATTCCGTGTTTCATTATAATATATATATATATATATATATATATATATATATATATATATATATATATATATATATATATATATATATATATATATATATATATATTAGTAAAAAGGCTCTGACGACAGAAACTTATCTGGACCAGTTGGACTGTCGAGGATTTTCCAGCGTTCACTGGGATGTTGATAAAGAGATATTACGGATGTCTGGTTGATCTAATGGAGGTGTTCTAAGGTCCATTATCCATACTGCTTGGATATTTTCATTTATCTTCGTTAGTACGGCTTTAGCTCGAGGCTTTTTTATTGTAACCGCTTTACCTCTTTGCTGACCTCTTTTACCTCTTTATTAAGGAAAAAAACCACGGTGTCAGTCACTTTTACATCTCTTAACATTTGTTACACAAATAGAAAGTACCAAACTAAATACATTTAATATAAATCAATTATTAACATTACTGCGATTGCTTAGATTCGCAACAGTATTCAGTTGCCTTGTTAAAAGATAAAAAAAATAAATATCTAGCTATAAAAAATAAAAATAAATAAATGTCGCCGAACAGAGACACAATATACAAAACAAATCAAACGGTCAGCCTTCACACAGCAAAAGAAAGGCTAATCATTCGGGAAGCCTACTTAAATGGCAATTTTTTTTTGTAAAACCGCGTAAAAGCAAAACTATTGCTTTTAACATTCTACAAGTAGCCTTGACAATACCTTGCTCGTACCAGTGGTATGCCTGACTGTTTTTCCAGGATGGTATAATTAATGAATGTCGTTAATATTCCGGAAATAAAACTGTAACGTTCTTTATAATGTTACAATTGTTTTTTGATTTTGAGGTTTTATGATATATCTATAATGAACTATTTAAATGATTATTCTTGTAGAAAGTCTTACTGTTTGATTAAAAGGTGCCTTGGAATGCAGGGATTAAAGTACTTTAATTCTTATTTTATCCTCTTAAACTTTGTATTCAATAACCGCAAATTAGTTGAGAGATAAAAATAGCTTAATATAAAAACTGAACACATAGAGGTTCAAATGGTTCTCAACTGGAAGAATGTCTTTTCGTGTTGAGTATAAAAGTCTGTCTTGTAATTGGTTTAAAGAAATAATATTGTTAAACCAAGTTCGCCGTGAAAGAGATACAGTGATGTGTTAGGAAAGCGAGTCAAAACTTAAATTTATTTAAGCGGGTATTTTCCAAAAGTGAAAAAGCTATATCTCGCCCAGGTTTTTAACTGCTTCGCACGTAGCTTGTTGCCAAGCGGGAATTTTTAAATATTTGAAAATACGTTAAACGGCATTTATCAAGGTTTATTGAAATATGGTTTAGGTTGACTATACATGTAACCTCCCAAATTAACTCCGCAACTTCGAGAGAGCGAAACTGTCTAATACTGAACTAACAAAAAATAATTTACCAATCAAATGTTGACTACCTGGTCACATAAGTTTCGATTTTTTTCAGTGTCAACCTTCGGGCCATTGACGTCACTCAGATGGTAGCTAGGGATTGATAACTTACAAAATATCCGAAAATAGTAGACAAATTGAAGGGCGCTAACTGACTTCCTTTAATGGTCAAACCTATATAAATAAAAGACAAACCTCAAACTTATGTTACTCTATAATAACTTAATCCAAAAATTATTTGCAATGTTTAACACAGATGCACAGGGAAACACTTAACTGTAAATTGTACAAAACCGAAAGATGCTCTACCTAAATGCATTCACTGCGGCGAAGGACATCCTGCTAGCTACAGGGGATGTGAAGTAGCCAAAGAAATGCAAAAAATCAAAAATAATAGCATAGCATAAAAAAACCAAACTTACCTAAACAGCCACAGCGAGTAATCCAATATAAGCCTGTTAATAGAAACAATTTAATAGACAAATCTAGATTATTTAGCCAGACGGTATCTGGTAAAAAAGAAGAAATAGATAACAATCAAGATTCATACATTACCAATAATCTCCACCAAATACTGGAAAAGCTGAACAAAATGGATGAACGAATTACTAGGTTAGAATATAGTAGCAAAGAAGCTATACCTAAGAGACAATATAATATGTAATAGCCTAATAATAATGGAATGGAATGCTAATGGACTGTTGCAGCACCAACAAGAATTGCAAGCGATCCTAGATATAGAAAACATAGACATATGTTTAATTTCAGAGACTCACTTTACCAATGAGTACTTTATTAAATTTAAGGGATATAAGGTTTATCATACCATTCATCCCAGAAATGCAGCAAGAGGGGGTAGCGTAGTAATAATTAGAGAAGCAATTAAGCATCATCAAGAAGCGGGATACATGACTGAAGAATTTCAGGCTACTTCAGTAATGATAAAATCTAAAACTTCTGATGTTATGGTCACTTCTGTAAATTGTCCTCCAAGACATACCGTTAAGAAAGAACAATACATAGATTTCCTCAACAGTCAAGAACCTAGATTTATCATTGGAGGCGACTTTAATGCAAAACACACCCATTGGGGCTCCAGACTAACGACAACTAAGGCAACTAAGAAACAATGACACAGTTAAAATGTGAGTCGCATTCAACTGGCAAACCAACTTATTGGCCCACAGATAGAAACAAAATACCCGACCTAATAGACTTTTTTGTTGTACGAAATATTTCAGCAAACTACATCCAAGTTGATGAGGCAAGGGACATG